ACGTGTCATCAGGTGTCTTATTCATCAGCATATACACCATCTCTTTAAAATGACAGTGGGAGGAAAAGTTCATCAGTTCAATATGTCTTTCACATTTGGAGACTCCTGACTAATAACCTCTGGTATTTATCATCAGAACAGCCAAAGAACTGAATTCTGGCACATGCTGCTCTCACGCACTGAGAAAAACACTTAAAAAGACAGAAGATTTTCTCCATTTTTCCTTCTTCCATTCATTTAGAAAAAAGCATACCTTTTTTTAATTAAAAAAAATATGAGCATGCAGAAACATCTGGCCTGTATTACTGCAGCAGCCTCCTAAATGGCATCCTTTTCTCCAGTCTGTCCTTTTAAAATCAACTGTATACACAATGCCAGAAAGATCTTTCTAGATCACAGATCTGCACCACTCGCTCTCTCACGTCACTGGCATATTCTTCCATGACTCTTCCATGGTTCTTGGGGCCAAGTTCTGTGTAGCCACAGCTGCCACCTCCCCTGCTTACCCGACACACTGAGCTGCTCACGGTTCTTGCTTCATGCTACAATAAAGGAGGTCTCCAGCTCCATGTACAAATCAGTTCTTTGTCCACAAGCTCCCTGCCAGGCTCTGCTGAGCCTGGACCCCAGCATGGGCCCCCACAGCAACTATCCAGCACTTATCACACGCATATGGAATGTAGCCCACAGTCTTGTTTTTGCTTGGCCAGCATAATACTTCAGTTAAAAACAAAACAAAACAAAAAACTTGAATATTGTTGGGCAAGGCATATCACTGACTTATCACACGCATATGGAATGTAGCCCACAGTCTTGTTTTTGCTTGGCCAGCATAATACTAAAGTTAAAAACAAAACAAAACAAAAAACTTGAATATTGTTGGGCAAGGCATATCACTGTTCAGTTTGCTTAAGGCTCCACTTTCTATTATCCACCGAACCCAAATTACACATTCTATATTGGGTCATACGAGGCTACTTATTTTCTTATCTCTTTCGCTCAGTAGACTATTCATATAAGCTGTTTGAGAACCAGGACTGTGTATTGTTAACTATTGTATCTATAGGCTTGGCAGCGAGTGCTCAATAAATATTTGTTGAGTGACTTTATGCCTTAAGAAAAACCTAAAATTAGGTCAGGAAAAACTCAATAACTCTTTTTGTCTTCTCTGATTGTTCACAAACATCACAAAACTCATGGAACTCAGTGGATCTGGCAGACACTAACAGTATTCTGTGGGATAATTGAAAGTCTGTGTTCATGGCTCCTTAGACTGAACCATTTTGGGTATTTAAGGTTTTGAATATTATTATGATCTTTCCCACTATTTCCTGTACCAGGAGATCCATATCTATGCTTATGATCTCTTTTGAATTTGTTCTCTGTGTTTTATTGTTTTGTTTCCATAAAGGTGTATATTTACCTGATCTCATTTCATGTCCATATGACCTTTACACTCCCTCAAGTGGGCTATTCGGAACTCTGAATGGAATAGGGTTAGATGCATTATTTTATCTGCTTTGTAAGATCTGATCATGACCAAAGTACAGTCAGTGGGCATACCCAAATTTGGGTCCTGACAAAGAGTAATACACCTAGATCTGTACAAGCTGGTGGTGCCAGAGGCTGCAGTAATGGAAATGCCCATTGGCTGACCTTGGATGTATCATGTTTTGGATAATCTAGTGCTTCATGTAGGTCATAACATTTCTTTATTTCTTTAGTTATTCTTTTCTATTCATTCAGTTACATGCTGCTTTAAAGACACTAAAAAAGATCTGGTGTCCCCTGGGACCCAGATTACTCATATTTATGGAATGTCACATAAAGTGCCATAGGACTGTGGTATCTGCCTATGGCAATGTTCTTGCCATAAATTCCATCTCCAGAGGATGCCCTGCCTTTTCAAGGAATACTATGTATGTTTCAGGGGGACTATACACCATAAGGCATTGCTGAGGAAAGGTATCCAAGTACTGAGTTCAAGGAAAGAAGAAGCTTCGTCTAAGCTTCCTTCCCTAGCGAAGAGGTGGGGGCAAAATGAGGAGAGTTTATTACAGAATTCTTTAGGAGGATCCAGAAATTTCATTGACAATTTTGCTAATGTGCTTGCTCGGCTGCGTTCTCAAAGGCCCGTTGTGATTTCCTTGGTTGATATTATTAATGGTTAATAGGTGCACCTGAAAATCAAGCAATATTGTATCATTTGGGTAATAGTTATGTTAAATGGTTCTTTTCTACAGCAGCAAGCTTATCAGATTATCTTTTTCCTAATAATGAATACCTCATCTTTTCCAATTTCTCAATCAAATGCTTCCACATCATCTTGAAGCAGAGCCAGTTCCAGCTGCATCTTTTCTATACTCTTGGCTTCAATTATGTCAAATTATCCAACCTACTTACAGTTCCTTAGGTTCTCTTTTGCTCTGAGGCATAGGCCTGTTGCACCTCTTTGGAAGCTCATGATTATCAGCCATTCAACACAAGTCTGTTGTAAGTAAACAGGAATCAAAAAGAGCACTAGGTTAAATTTACGGTTATGAGGAAATTTCTAGAATAGACTTCTTTCTTTTTTTTTTTTTTTTTTTTTCTTTTGTCTTTCTCCGTGTCCGGCAACAGATCGCAACCCTCAGTGTTGCCCCCGTACCGGACCGGGGACCGGCAACGGGATTGCAACCCTCGGTGTTGCTCCCGCGCCTCGCTCAGCCAGTGAGCGGGAACCGGTCTGTATGTGGGATCCGAACCCTCGGGCAGGAGCGCCGCCGCGCTTCCCAAGCGGCGCACTTATCCAGTGCGCCACCGGGCCGGCCCTAGAATAGACTTCTTTCTAAATTTTGGTGCTCTTGGGTTGATCTCAGGTGTTTCTCTTCTCCCTGTCTTTTCTCCCTGAAACATATGTGTATCTCATTCTATGTTGCCTTGCTTCAGAGGTGAAGATTTCCATGGCAGTCACATAAAAGTAAATGCAGCCATGTTTTGATTATATAAAATAATAAATATTTAATTTATTATTGACCAGAAGCATCTGGCTTCCCATATATTACCATATTTTATTTTATTCAACCAAATACCTATATCTGAAAGAGGACAAGAAATGTCCCCAAGTTTCCCTTGGGGAAACCTAATATTGTCACTTTCTGTCATATTGGCTGAAACTTTACTGTACCTTATTTCTCTATTCAGGTGAAATGATTTATCATTTTGGAGTCATTTTTTTTTTTAGTAAAAATTCTTATCATTATACTTCAAGGCCTGATCTGCATGTCTCTGTCCCCTTTTGATCATTCTGTTTCTATCTTCTGAGCTTTAAAAAGACCCCTTTTCTCTGCAAGAAAAAGAGAGCCCAGACTCACCCCTGAAGATCCCAGCTGACTCAAGCTGCATTTCTTTCTCCTATTAACATGAGCAGTGGCCCTTTGACGCCCAAGGCCATGCTTTATACCCCCCTAGGACTCTAGTACCCAGCCCAGTGTACAGAACAGGCACAATTCATGGTTTCTAAGTGAATGAATAAATGAATGAACACCTGATTTCACAAGTTATGGTTGTTTAATCTCCTTAATCTAAATTACATTCTAACTGGAACTGTATCATTTCAAACTTTTATCAAATATTCTTAATACCAAGTACAGTACCGTGCATACAACTATTGCTCAATGAATGTTTAGTGAGAGTGAAAGATGTTGTATATTTTGGAACCCTATCATGAAGAAACCAAAATTTGGCACACAGCATTTCAAAATCCATGCTTATTCCAAATAGTCAAGTCAAGTAATGAATTTTCACCCTGAAGACTAACCAGTGATTCAACTGATTGGTTACTATGATTACTCTACATTGGACCTTCTATAGTTGGAATGCCTTATAACATTCCAGAGAGAGAAAAATCTTTGGAAAACCATCTGTGTTTCTGGAAATATTTATATGGAATCCTTCCCCTTTTAGAGAGTGTTATTGATCAAGTTCAACAGATATCCACTGTTCCTGCAAACATATATTGAACACTTTGTATGTGACATGAATTGGACATAAATGTGAAACTGGCAATTCTTCAAATTACTTATAATTTCGGAGCCAAGGATAGAAATAAAGCAGCATACAGTATTAAAAAGTCTACAGTATAAACCAGTATAATGATCAGAGAAAAGGGAATAATTAACCCCGCAAAAGGCATTAGGGGAGACTTCCTAGAAGAAATGGCCCTGAGTTGGATTTCAACCATGATAGCAGTTTTTGTCTTTTAGATGACTATCATGACCGGAAAATGCCCCTAATGTGCTTGATGTATTCATTTATAAAGCATTGCCACATTACAAGGAAGAAACTTTTAAAAAGCAAAGATTTGAAAACCATTTAACTCCTCAATACAGCACATAATCCACCTCTATATTCTATGGTTTGTGTGAAAAGTGAGAAACAGAGCTGAATCAAACGCTGCTATATTAATGGATTTATATATGTGCACATAAGGCTAATATATTTTATGCTGCCAATTTTTTATGGTTCCATAAATAGAGCTATCACTAACATTTCTAAGTGAGAAACAGAGCTGAATCAAACGCTGCTATATTAATGGATTTATATATGTGCACATAAAGCTAATATATTTTATGCTGCCAATTTTTTATGGTTCCATAAATAGAGCTATCACTAACATTTCTAAAAAAATGAAGAAAAGAGCTCATATGTGCTAGTAGAAATTCAATGTATTTTATAGAACACTGCTACTCTTGATATAGCCTACGGGATGTGACTTTTCATAAAAACCTAATGAATTTCTAGATTTGTCAGCTGTTTCCAAACAGATGCACATTGCTAATCTAATGGAGACATTTTGAGCCCAGATCTGAAATATCAATAGCTTTTAGTATTGCAAATTAGTTTGTCTATTGGGTAAATTGGGCTGTGTGGTTCTTGATAAAAAATAGCAAGTAATTTTGTATGAATGTTTTATGTGCAACTGTCTTGCCAGGATTTGATGCTCATGTTTTTCCTTGCAGAGTTTTAAGTTGAATGTAGACAGTCATTGTGCTCTCAAGGAAGCTGTGGAGGAGGAAGGACACCAACTTCTCGAGCTTATTGCATCTCACAAAGCAGGTAAATCCTCCTGAAATATTGCAAGTCTTTATGTCTTCAGACTATTAAGAATGAAGAAGCATTGCTGTAAATTACTGCATATATTCACTTCCTTATGTATTATTAATATTTACATTATCAGATTGACCTTCAAGATTTATAAATGTTTCATATACTGCATACAATGCTGTGATACTTCTAAGATGAAATACTGCCTCCAAATGGTCTGTTCATTTTATTTGGGGCTTGCTGTTCACCTGAGTTTCAATTGAAATCACATTCCTGAGAACTTCACTTTGACATGCTTTTTGATGTAGGTGCTCTGGAAATAACATTAAGATAATGAATGAGAATTGTGCATATAGTTATAATGCATATGCATTGGGGTACTTATAGATATCATTACAGATATAAGGCAGGCAGTCTAAAGATACCTCATTATTTCCCTGCCAATTCACACACATGAACATTTTGCATGTTCTTTGCTGATCTTTGCATTAGAGTTTTTGGCCTTCAACCAATTCTTACCCCAGTATTAATATATTTATGAGGAACAGATTATAAATAAAAAATAGTTTTGTCATTTGGTTATACTTATTCTGATAATAGAAACCCATAGGATAAGATGAGTTACAGTTTGGCTCCTACTTTGATCTTACTACAGCTAACTAGGAAAAACACAGCATTAATTGGATGTGCCAGTGTTAAAGATTGCTGTCCTAATTCTGGTCCATTTACTGTATTTCTCATTGAACTGACTTTACCTATTTCCGTACATCTTTCTGATTGTTACAAAGTCTCTACACAGATACCCACAGGGTCTTTTATTTGGAATGTCAAGTTATAGTGTTAATAATTTTTACACATCATGATTTTTGTTCCACGTGCATTTTTTTTTCAGTCAATTCACTAAGTCTAGGGTCAATTTCTAAAGCAGGCATCTATGTGGTTAGCACATTTTTGTGTCCTTATGCCTTGTGGCAAGAATTGCTGGTCTCTACTCTGGGTGACAAATGCAAATACGGCATGTGATGGTAATGATCATTTAAAAATATGTGTACTGTTTGAAATAGCCACCTAATTACTAAATAAAAAATAATAACGGTAAAGACACAGTCAGGTCCACAACCTGTGCTTCCCCTTCTTTTGGAGAAGGACTGAAGGACATGCTGCGGATGATTGCAAGTCAATGGAAGGAGCTGCAGAGGCAAATCAAACGGCAACACAGCTGGATTCTCAGGGCTCTGGATACCATCAAAGCTGAGATCCTGGCTACTGATGTGTCTGTGCAGGATGAGGAAGGGACTGGAAGCCCCAAGGTAAGTGGCTTGAAGTCTGCCTTATTTCCTCTTATTTCTGTCTTCTTTTGAACTAGGCACCACTGAAGTTTTCCTTCCACCCCTCAGGCTTTTCGTTTCTACTGGGTAAACTTTATATATCTCCCTCTATATAAACAAAATGAAATGGCTTAGTTTTTAAAACAATACCCCCCCCCCCCCAAAAAAAAAAGCCTACAACTTTCAAGTTTTCCAGGAAAAGGTTTTTTTTTGTGAAAAGTGGCAGGGTAGGAGAGGGACAGTACTTTAGGGGTGAGAGAAAGGGGGACATAAAACATTTAGTAAACAAAACATAAAGCATCTTTAACATGAATAATCAGAATGGTTTTAAATTGTTTTGTTGCAACTATAAATCACTATAATCAGTGCAATCACTCAGCTCTGACATCCATTAGCCGCTTGGTTACAGCAAATTAACAAAGAAGAGAGAAAGTGATTCATTATCTCATTCCTGTTAATGACTATCAGATGCATTGCCTAATTAGGGGATGGTCATTGTAGTGGGAAGAAGGTCATATGCTTTGCTACAAATCTTTTTGCTCTGAGTGTAAGTTCTCCATAATGGTGCATGCACCGAATACAACAAGTACTTTAAAAATGAGTATTGACATGTTTTGGTTATCCATTTTAGATATACAAAATAACCCATAAAATATATGCAATTGAACTTTAAATGAGCACATTTAGTACAAAGTGCCACTGTTCTAAAGGTATCCTTGGACTCACAGTGTGGAAAATAATTTATTAATTTGATATTTTCATGCAATCGTTCCCTTCTTTTGTATTTGCTCTTTTGTGAAAGTAAATGCAGTAAACCAGTCCCGTAATAGACTCAGCATCAAAATGTATTTTAACATGAGCAAAACAGATCTAACAGTTCATGGTTTCTCTTCCTGGCATGGACAAAGTAAGTGAATCATCATCACATCACATTCATTCAGCATCCATGTGGACTGGCATTGTGCTAAATGTACACAGAGCAAGTTAAACAAGAGCAAGTTTGCCCTCTTAGACTCACATTCTTAAATGCAGGCAGAGCAGAAACCCAACCAGCCCCGCATCCCCATTGAGACCTATGCAGCCAGTGAAAAGAGATGATTTACAGCTCTGGAACCTCAAACAACCACCTTTAATTATTTGTTGGAAACAGAGGACAGAGTGATGAGCTCAGTTCCACTTAAAGACAGTTCCATGGGGAAGGTCACATTTCAGGAAATACTAGAAGAAAGGAAGAGAGGTGGCTTGGCACATGAGCACATATTTGGGGAGGGATGTGATGAAAGGATCAAAGCTGGTACTAGTAACATGGAATGGAGAGTGTATTCAGCAGACTGCTCAGGGCTGACGTGGAGCTAGTTTCAGGAGCAGGCTGCAGAGAGAAGTTGATTGGGCTAATGCTTTGGCTGTGTGGTGGTGGGGTGGAAAAATGATGAGAAAGGTTACAATTAAAATTCAGTTGTATTTTACTCATTTAACAAAAATATGCTAAGTGCCTACTTTTTAAAAGCTATCCTGTATCAGGTGCATTCTACATGCTATATGCTGTTCTATAGCACTTCTGTATTCTCTCATTTAATTAGCACAACAAATTCATTAGGTAGTTCTGTAATAATCCCAAATGGAGAACATGGAGGCACAGAGAGGTTAAGTAACTTGCCTAAGGTCACACAGCTACTAAGTAGGAGAGGTGGGATTTGAATCTGAGCCCTTTGGTCTGAGAGCCCATGTTTGTCACCACCTAGAGTGCTGCCTCTCCCTGGTGCTGCTCAGGGCCGAGTATGGTGCCAGGTATTAGAGATGAACAATTAGCCTCGGTGCCTGTCTCATTCAACTTGTGGTGAAGTGGGGGAGACCAACTTTAATCTGACGATCCTGCCTGTTCAGACCATGATGTGCTGTGAAAGGAGAGAAAAGGGAGCGACAAGATGTTGGCCCAGGAGAAGTGATGTAGATCAGCGCATGAGGGAGGGCTTCTCTGAGGAAGCGCCATTCTGTGAGCAGGCCGGCGTGATGAGCGGGAGGAAGGAGTGTGCTGGGGAAGCTGGGTGGCCTGCTGTCAGCCAAGGGGAGGGTTTGGGGTAAGCCAGGAAATGACATCGCTGAGTTGCAGCATAAAAACCTGCTGTGGGTTTTTTCAAAATCCTGGCTGTACTTGGGGGGGCTTCGGGGGATGGAGGATGGGGGAATGGAGGGGGGCGCCAAAGAGGAACTGAACAGATGGTGTGATCACCTGAATTAATAAAAGCGACACTGAAAATGAGTGACTCCATTCACCAGGGCCAGTTTAAAATTGACACTTTTAAATCAGCTCATTTTGTAGGTAGGTATCGAGATGGAATGAAGATAACCCAGTAAGGAGAAAGTATTATCAAAGCAGAGGCAACATCAGCATTTCTCAGAAAAAGGACCTTCCCACCCAAGCCCCTTCCCAGACCACATCAGACCCTCCTGGGTGGGCCCCAGAATCTGCATTCCAGCAAGCTTCTGGAGAACCACTGCAACAGGTATTAAGAAGGCCCTTTTCCTGCAGTACACACAACAGGAAGTTGCTTAAAATGGCAAACAATTGATATCAACTGAAAGGTTTAAAAATAGCAACTGTTTAATTAAATTATGCTACATCTTATTCTAATGAAAGGTTACATAGCCGTTAAAAATGTTTCAGAAGAGGGGCCAGCCCAGTGGCGCACTCGGTAGAGGGCGGCGCTCCCGCCGAGGGTTCGGATCCCATATAGAGACCGGTCTGCTCACTGGTTGAGTGCGGTGCAGGCGCGACACCGAGGGTTGCGATCCCATTGCTGGTCGCGCCCGCGATCCCATTACTGGTCGTGCCTGCGATCCCGTTACCGGTCACAAAGAAAGACAAAAAGGACTGCTCACTGGTTGAGTGCGGTGCAGGCGCGACACCGAGGGTTGCGATCCCATTGCTGGTCGTGCCCACGATCCCGTTACCGGTCACAAAGAAAGACAAAAAGGAAAAAAAAAATGTTTTAGAAGAGAATTTTAAAAATTGGAAGAGACCTGTCATATGTAATTACATATTTTTAAATATCTTTGAATTTTCCAAATCTCTACAATGAGCAAGAATTATTATAAACAGAAAAATAAAGAATACATGTAAAATATGAGAATTAAAAAGTGATTTAAAAGGTAAAAGAAGTGACAATTTGAGCTGAGGGGACTTGAGATATGAATTCACATGTTAGGAGGAAAAATAAAAACATCTGGTTCTTAATGATTTAGATGCCTCACTTCACACACGCACACACAAAACCCAAATAATCTCTCTATTTGAATCATTCCAAAAGTGAAAACACCTTGAGTTACATCAGTTTACAAAAAATAACATGCCTGTTTTTCTTTTTTGAAGTATTTCTATTCCACAGCATTTTCATGTTACATTACGTGCACAGTATAGCATATCTAAAAGCTGCTATGAGGAGAGGTTTTCGTGGGATCTATAGATGCAGAACCTGAAGGAGGCACTTGAGTTTGAGACCCTGACGTGGCAGAGCTAGTGGAACACCAGGCCTTCCACCTTCCTACTAGCTCTCTCTTCCCCAGTCTGGGAAGAATTTTCTCTGGGCAAATAAACTCATCCATACTCAAGGGTGAATGTGAAATCAATTTAAGACAAAGAAAATGTATTTCTAAATTGAAGCTTAGGAAACTATGGAGAAATCAGGGTAATCATTCTTTCTGTTTGATTAATGTCTATGAACTGCTTCCTTAGTCACTGAGGCAAACACACAGAATAATAGAGGCTCAGATTCTGAAGTCAGACTGCCTGGGTTCAATGACTGGCACTTACTAGCTGTGTGTCCCTGGGAAAATTACTAGACTTTTCTGTGCCTCAGGTTTCTCATTTGTAAAATGGAAGTGATGATAATATCCATCTTAAAGGGCTGTGATGCAGATTTATAAGAGTTGATATACCTAAAGTGCTTAGAACAGTGCCTGGCACATAGTAAATCCTAAATAAGGATAAATGTACAAGCCTTTATATTCTGGTAACAAAGACAATAAACAAATAATTATGGTACATCTGATAAATACTCTAATAGAAGAAGGTACAAAGTGTTGTGAGTACACAGAGAAGAAAACATCTAACCCTACCTGGGGGTATCAAGGAAAGGTTTACAGGGCAATTGATGTTTTAAATAAGGGGTACAAAGGATTTTTGCCAGGGTGAAAATAATGGGCAAGAGAGAACAGCAGGTGCAAAGACCAAGAGGTGTAAAAAGGAGTGGTGTGGCTGGAACCTGGGACCATGTCGTGGACGATGATTAGGCCAGTTGCCACAGTCTGCACTGAGGCTCACAGTATGAGAAAAACGATCCTTAATGAACAGTGATTCCAGTAATAATTCCTCTTATGTCTCCAATTGATAGAATCCAAGCCGTAATGAGGTCTCTATATAGAATATGTCTAACATATACTGTTTAAACAGAACATTTTTTTGCCATATTGTAGTAAATAAGACAAGCTTAAATAGGTTACCCTCAAGTTCTCTGAGACTAAAAGCTGGATTTGGCTTCTTATCCATCATGTCAGCCTCTTTCCATGACATGACCTTGCACAGGTCATGTACAAATTGTGCCATGAAATGAATCTCCAGGCATGGCAGTTATGATCATCTATTTTATCTTAGACCTAAAAGAGGAACTAAAATTAAAACATAATAAATATAACTCGGAATTCATCTTAAGTTTACTTCAGAAGCTACTGGGAGCTTGAGAAGCATAATAGAAAATCTAAGGAATATATCTAGGGGGTATTTTTCTTTTTTACCTTGTTTGAGAGACTGCAGAAAAGGACTTGGTCTTAGAAATCTTGTAAAGAAGGAGGATAGGAGGAAATTCAAAGACTCTGGGAAACTTCTCCCCCAGGACTCGGCAGCACGCCTTATTTGTTGTGTTTCATTTTTTAAAAAAGTGTTTTCCCAGGACTGTGGGATCTTTCATACATGGAAATAGAGAACAGAATTCACCAGTTCTAGAAATAGAGCTTCCACACTCATACCCAAGAATTGA